TTAATAGCATAGAATCTTATAGAATCTCAAGCTTAAAAAGGACCTTAGAGTCATTTAGTCCAACTCTCCCCCCAAGTCAACATTGCTGCCAACTCATCACGCATCTTCTGCAGCATCACCTTCAGTGATGAACTCAGGTGCTCATCTAAAGCCCATTCCATCTTTAGACATCTGCTGGGAAACTCTGTATTCTGTAAAGCTGAGTTCTGCCTGTTTATATTTCCTGTTCATTGGTCCAAGTTTCCCCCACTAGCATCACACTGAAGAAGTAGTTAGGTATATGAAGATATATGAAGAAGGCAGTCACTTAGGGGCTGAGCTCAGATTTCTGGAAATAGGAAATCATGGCAGTGTAAGGCAGTGATTTTAGTGGAAATAACACTAGCATAGGCCTGTAAGAAGTTAGGTCCTAGTCCTTATAGAACATCTTTGCCTGATGTGACTTGGTGTCTTCTCCTTTTCTATGAAGATGAAGGAGTTGGATTACATTATAATACATGTTAGAATCAGCTGGGGAGCAGACAGAAGTACGTTGGTAGAGAACTGTGGTAGAGAACTGTGGAATTAGATCATCCAGTGGGGTAAGCTGATTTTTCAAGATATGATTAACTATAATAGTCTGCAGTTCTTACTAAGGGGCTTTTATCAAGGCTCTGACAGTCTAGTATATGAGCTTTTGGTAATTCCTATTTTATAGAGACCTACCTGGATCTAGAGCTTTCTCCTACCTGTATAGCCAAAATGTGGTTGCTCACTGAGCACAATTATTTTATCCTCTAGTGCTCTTTTTGGGTGACACCCCAAAGTGATATAAAAGACAAAACTAGCTAGAGAGGGAAGGAGAGCACTGCCCGACCTGGCCAATGCCATGGCCGCTTTGCACCTCGTGCTCCTCATCTGTAAGAGGTAAAGCAAACCCACCTGAGTGAGTTGCCATGAGGGCCACTGAGAGCACGGTGTAAAGCCTACTGCCTGGCAATGAGAAGGCCCTCCACGTCTTAATCCCCTGGGCCTTTGGCAGCAAGGAGAAAGGGCAAAGAAGAGGGATGGTGGTGCCATTTCTGAGGCATGTTGCCATCCCTCTTCCCATAAACAGCCACTGTTGTGAGTTGTATTTCTTTCCAAAATTCATAGGCTGAAGTCCTAACCCCTAGTACCTTAGAATGTGACCTCTCTGGAGAGAAGCTGTGAGGAAAAGAAAAAAAAAAAAAAAAAGAATGTGACCTTATTTGGAAATAGGATCATGGCAAATATAATTAGTTGAGTTGAAGCCATTAGGATGGGCCTTAATCTGACTAATATCCTTATAAAAAGGGAAGAAATTTGTACATAGAAACATGTGCACAGAGAGAATTCCATGTGAAAAGTAAAGAGAGATGATACATGCAAGCCAAGGTGTAGCAAAGGTTGCCAAGAAACCACCAGAAGCTAGGGGAGAAGCCTGGAACAGATTTTTCCTTGTGGCCTTCGAAAGAAACCAACCCTGCTGATTCCCTGACCTCAGACTTCCAGCTTCCAAAACCATGACACAATAAATTGCTGTTGTTCAAGCCACTGAGTTTGTGGTATTTGTTTACAGCAGCCCTAGCAAACTAATACACCTACAGAGATGGCTTCTATTGGTGACATCAAAGGGGGCATGTCCAGATAGAAGGAGGCACTGCAGTTCCACAGAAAGGATGGGAGACACTTGGAAACCCTGAGAATGCTTTTCCAATGGGCCACCAGTTCAGCAAGTCTGTCCGCCTGATACTGTCCTGAATGAACAAGTTGCCATTCTGAGCATACCCCTACTCAAAGTCCTGGAATATTCAGGAACATCATTTACTAGATATTATTTTATATCTTCTGTTATGACTTTGTGATTTTCCTTCCATGTGTATGTATCCATGTTTTGTTTTGCCACCTGGATTGCAAACTCTTCAAGGGCAGGGACCATTTCACAAGCCTCACTGGGAGTCAGAAGTCAGGTGGTAAAACTCCCAGTGTGGGCTTAGGCATGTGTCCTTTCCTTTCTGGGCCTGGTTTCCTCATCTGTACAAATGAATTAGCATCACTGAATCCCCTCCAGTTACAATACTCTGTGATTCTGACTCCATGAATGCTTGTTATGTAACCAAACTGACTGCTTGGGGTGCAAAAAGGAATGACAGGCCCAGGAAACCCATCTCTTTAGATGTGGTGAGCAGCCAGTCATCTATGGTTAAAGGAGTCAGATTCATTTACCAAGGGGTCTACACTCTGAGGGCTTGAGGAGCAATATAATATGCCAGGGACTCCAAGCCCCACTGGGTCCCTCCTTTCCTGGACTCCAAAGTCCTCCTGCCTTGGCATCTGCCTTGCTAGAAGGTCATTCTCTTAGTGACCACTGAAGTTTTCTTTTATTTCAATGAAGGTGTGCATGGATGCTGTACTGAGTGTGCTGGGCACCATGCCCATGGCAGGGCTGGCCTCCTGTGTACCGTTTAGAAGCCTGCTGTCTCTGCTTTGGGGGTTTGAGGAGCACTGCCTTTCCAATAAGTTACAGTATTTGGGTGGACCACTTTTTTTTGTCTTACCTTAGTCTCCACTATTGAGCAACTTTGACCTAGTCAAAGAATATTTAAGGGTCCTTCTAGTGGCAAACACCCAGATGCCTGGGTATCTGTGTAAATTGTGCCCCAGGAAGTAGGGACTCACACAGACCAGTCCAAGTAATGGCAATAGTGTAGGGAGGGAGGCAGGGGCCTGTAGTCACAAGAGGGATGGAATCTCCTAGAAATCACAGAGGCTAGAAACCCCCAAACAAAGACAAGCTTCACAGAACCTGGTTCCGAAAGGTCATCCTAGTTCTGCCAACCTCACCCTGGTGTTCTGTGCTTAATGCAACCGAGTTACTCTCCAGGGATCAGCTTCTCTCGGATTCTCTTCCCTATTCTAATTCTCTTACTGTTTTCAAAAGCATACCTCTGGTAGAACACAGGACAATTTATTATTAATCATTACTACATGTGAGACAGAGATAGAAATGGAAACCCAGATAGATCCTAAGGGGAATATGCTGAGAAGCCTGAGGCCTGATAATTGTATTGAACTAGTTAAAGTTCTTCCAACAATTAGCTGTGTGGACTCTAACTAGTTGGATAATTCTTAGCTGTGTGACCTTGGACAAGTCCCTGCCTCCACTTCCCCATTTCTAAAATGGAACATGTGCATCTATTTTTCCTTCCCTCAGGGTCGTGGTAAGAGCAGGAGCCTGTTCTCCACTCTCTGCTCTAGCCTCAGGGTGGCAGTGGGCAAGTTTCTTCACCTCTCAGCCTCAGTCCCTTCATGAGTCAGATGAGAGATTTGAACAAGGTGATCGTCACCACTCCATCCCTTTCAGCTCTTGACTCTGTGCACCCTGCCTCTCTGGGCCTAGCCCTATACACACTATCACAACCCTTATCCTCAGAAACCTTTCCTCTAAAAATCCCACAATGCAGAGAATAACATCACGCATACTCTAAGACAAGTATCTGTTGAAAGTTGCAATCATGTCATACTTTTGTAATAAAAAATTCTACATTCTCTGTGCCCTGGCTTATCTGTTTAGAGACATTTTCTTTTTACTTATTATTGATTGTCAATTGACTGCAGTCACTGGCTCTTTGATCTCCCTTTTTGTTTAAATGCCACCCACACTATCTGCCCTGGCCCCCTACTCTCTAGTAAACAGTAATGACACACAAACTTGGGGGACTCTGGGAGCAAAGGGAGGCCGGGGTGGGCTTCCCTCAGGCCTGTGAATAGTCATTCCTGAAGCCTCTGTTTTGTAAGTTCTTCTGCCAAGTTTCTATGGGAGCGGAGGGATCATTTTCTCCCTTTTCAAAGAGCAGGGTGAGTTGAGGCCTCGAGCTGGCAAGTCCTTTAAAGTCCTTTTCAAAGGAAACCTGAGCTGAAAGACCATGCAGCTGGCAGAGGGTGGTGTGCTTTCCCCAGACTCTCCGGGGCTTTGGGTGGTCAGCTCCCACAGGCTTCCCAGCACGTGCTCGGAGCCTGCTACAAAGGCACTGCCAGGGGACATTACTGTCCGAGCGGTGGTGACAGCCCCAGGGAAGGGCTCCACCTCACATCCCTCCCCACCGCTGCCCAGGAGCAAGAAGAGGGAGTGCCGACTCCTCCTCTGGGCCGTGCCCACAACCACACTTGCCCTCCCTGTTCTCAGGTCCTGTCAATCAAACTTGATCCTTGGGGTGTTTTGAGGTAAAATGAAACTGCGTGCCAAAGCGGGCGAGGGTGAACTTACGTCTGTATCGTGGAATCATTAAGTGGTCTGGTTAATCCAAGCCCCTCGGGGACAGGTTGGGAAGGGCACCCAGAGAGGAAGTGGCTGTCCCAAGTCACACAGGAGGAGGTGGCTGGTTTCTACCACAGGGCTTTTTGGACAAAGAGCACCTCTGCAGGGACAGAGGTTTGCTTGGCCACTAGCCACTCGTAAAGCTTCTGAGTCTACAGATGTCTGTCAATCACCAGCAGACACCAAGAAGACTCCAAATGCACGGAGGCTGAGGAACGAACGTGTGACTGAGGCCAGACGCCTTCACACTGCCCCATGAAGCTGTGGAGAGAAGTTGTTCATGAAGCTAGAAGGCAGATGAAGCTCGTCTCTTCACAGAATGGGCAAACCAAGGCAAGAGGAAGAGACTCATATCTACGTGAGTCAGAAGAGCTAGAATCAAAGGCGATAAAAGCTCAGCCTAGAGCTGAGTGGGTGGCCTACCCCAAAGCCCCCACCTGAGCTTCTCAGGACCAGGAGCTGGAGTCTGCAGTCCATCCTGGCACGGGGGGCCAAGTGTGGGTTTGTGCCAAGTGCCCAGGGACAAGCCCTAGCCTTATCCCAAATGACGCTCCTTTCTGAGACTGCACCAGCCAGCAGCCTTGCCCTCTGAGAGCCTTTCCCACTAGACTAAGAGCCGAAGGAGTCAGATCCACTCAAGTCCCCACTCCAACACAGAGAAATACCTCCCAAACAAGCCAACTTGACTTTTCAACATTTTATTCTTATATTTGTACAGCTATATTTTACAATGCGGTAATGCAGTTTAGACACAGCCAAACCCTGTCTCCGGAGTAGTTATAACACAAGCATGACGCAGAATGGGATGAGACAAACGTTCCCAAAGAGAGTTTAGTTAGTGACCACTTCAAGTCCCTGTGTCTGCCTACACTTCAAAAAGGGATGGCGCACACTCGTCCATCATTGAAAACTTCCGTGAAAAAAGGCACCGTGAGGACACGTTATACAGGTATATACAAACTGAAAACTGGAACAAAATTACACGTTTTTCCTTCTGCAGCTTTTTTTTTTTTGTTCTTTTTGTTTTTTTAATACACACTTTGTAAATTGTAAACCTTCACTTGCAAAAAAATACAAATACACTGAGGCATTTTAGACAAAATATTTTCTTACTTATACAGATGCAATACTTAAAATATTCTCTTAAGTGCTCTTTCTCAATAAAGATTCTCAGATCCGTGTCTGCCTGCAGATACAAAATCGAGCCTTTAACGCAGTTTTATATTCTTAATATATCTTTTTTAGGTTTATATATATTTATTTTATATATATATATATATTTATATATTTACAACTCTGCCATATATTCCTTCACCTTTGGTTAAAAAAATTAAAGCCCTCTCTTTGATAACACACCAAAGTCTTGTCTTTTAAAAGAATGCACATTTACATACAAAAGAAACGTCTGTTCCCACAAAACATATACATTCCTCATTTTGCAGACTAAGTCAAGTCAGAGCTTTTGCATACTCCCCCACTTGGATATATAAAATGATTTTGCTTTTTGCTGACATGGTTCGCCTTACACATAGGAGAAAAAGCATTATTATTTTCTTAATGTTTTATGGCAGTGGGGGAAGGGAGCTGCCGTGGCTCCCAGTCCCCCAGGCCCCACCCCCCACCCCCTACCCTCAGCTATGATTTGCACTAGTGGATGAAAGAGGCACTACATCATGGGATGAACATTATAAAGTGTTACAGTATCCTTTGGGTAGATTCTGAGGAGGGGCTGGAGAGGAAAGCATCAACACTCCATGCTTCAGCAGGCTTTGGGGAGCTCCGGAGGCAGGTCAGTGGCCGACACGCGGTATTGCACCTTGGTGTTGGTGATGGCGCCATGCTTCTGGCGCAAGTGAAGTCGCAGCTGGCTTTTGTGACGGAAATGCAGGTTACACTTCTCGCACTGGAGGGAAATCAGAGGCAAACTGTTAGCTGTCATCAACCCAAGAAACGCGTCATTGCTCAAAGACCCAGAGAAGGAGGTTCTCCTTGCAAAGGGCTGGGGCAGTTCTTTTCTCTCAAAGTCCAGTTTAAGAACCCATATGAAACCTAGCTTCTGCCAGGAGGTAAGTAAATGCAAATGTCCCTTCCCTGTTTTCCCAAATGTTGGCATGCTTTTCCCTTGCTTGAGATGTCATTCCCTGCCTTAACTCCACAAGTTCAAGTCTTATCCAAAAACAGTTCCGATACAAACTCCCCTCATTATTAAAGCTTTCCTGAACCTCTCAACCATAAAAATAATTCCTCTTTCCTTTGAACCTCTGTACAATTTCTAGTCTTGCTATGCAACCATCCTTGTGCATTAAGATTCTTCTTCAATGGGTAACACTTATAAGGACAGTGACCCCTTTTCACTAAACTTTATAATCTTCCTAGTACCTGCCAGAATATACCTCTTGGGAAAATTATGAATAAATCTGAACACATTTAGGCAAATGGACTAGACCAGTCTGAATTCATGGAAATTCTGGAGTCTAGGATACACTTTTAAAAATGCAGTTATATTTCTTCTTAGAGTGTATATCTTAGCTAACCTAGTAAAGCATTAGCAAATAAAGCTGTTTCTTGCTTGATTCAATGAATGGGTAACAGTTTTAGTTTAGATAAAAGTCTCTTAAAAGTACAATGGATGACTAAATGTAATGGGATAAACTAGATGAGATCTTAGAAAAGACAAAGAATGTTTTTAGGTAAAAAACTAAAAAAAAAATCCAAATAGAATATGAACTTTAGTTTATAATTATGTATCAGTATTGGCTCATTAGTTATGACAAATGTATCACACTAATGTAAGATGTTAATAGTGGGGGGAAATGGGTGCTTTTGGAGTCCTCTGCACAATCTTGGCAACTTTTCTATACATCTAAAACTATTCTAAAATACAAAGTGTAATAAAATATATTCAGATAGAGAATATGTTTTAAAGTGAAAATGGTTATAGACTTACAAAAATACAAAATAAATAAAATGGGCAGGGCAGTGTGTAAAAAGCCCTAGTCTTGGGAGACATAGGGTCCATTGTATCTATGCTACCCACTGCTGTGTGTCCCAGGCATGTCATTTCTCTCTCTGAAGGGACTGGGTCAGTACACGTCGAAGGTCATTCTCCACTGCGATATCCTATGTATCTAAAATTCCAGCAAATCATAACAGCACATATTTACTGTATACTCTTACTATATCCGTGTGCTATCCTGCACACTTTGGTGAATTAGTTAGCTAATACTACAACTACATGGGGCTCATTTTATAGATGAGGAAATTAAGGTACTAAGAGGATAACTAATTTGCCCAAGAACAAACGGCAAGTAAGAAGCTATTCATCCAAAGCCTGATAAACAAGTGAACAAAAGTAAACCACGTTTTGCAGGTTAACATCTGGAATGAGGGTTAACCAAATGATTCGTTCTTGTGCCCACCACCACCTAGAGCGATGCCATAAGTTCTTCAAAGCAGCCACAGACAATATGTAAACAAATGAGCATGGCTGTGTTCCAATAACACTGTACTTATGGACCCTGAAATTTAAATTTCATATAATTTTCACAAAATATTCACAAAATATGTCACAAAATATTATTCTTCTCTTTTTAATGAAAAAAACATTCTTAGCTCATGGCATGTTCGGACACTGGTGTGCAGGCCATACTTGCCAAGGCCCTGCTCTAGAACAGTCCAATCCCTATGCCTGTCCACAGCATTGTGCTGCATACCTGGACACTCCTCTTTCTTAAAATGGACTTCTGGTTTTTTTTTTTTCTCATTATAACATCATAAATTCTTATAATATACTTCTGGTTCTCCTCCCACTCCTAAGACTGCTCCTTCTCAAACACTTTAGCCCCTTGTAATGTACGTATAGCCCAGTATGGGTTGTGCTATAGACACTCAATAAGTGTTTGTGGAACAAATGAATGACTCCAAATCTATGTATTCATAGTCAGGACTTGTTTCCCAAAGCCCAGATCGCCTAGCCCAATACCCCCATTTTCACACTGAGACTCGGGCCAAGGTCATGCGGCGTGTCTCGCAATCAGGTCCAGATCCAGATCTTCCACCATTACCTCCCTGGTCATTCCGCTGTGTGCTCGAGACTAGAGTACCCAGGTGTGCTGTCCCACCCCTCCCGCTCCCTTCCTCCCCACGCCGGCCACTGGCCGCAGGAGGCTTACGTACATGGTAAGGTTTCTCTCCCGTGTGGATTCGCAGGTGGCTCTTCAGAGTCTGAAGGTGTCGGAAACGGGTGCCACAGATTTCGCAGGGATAGGGCTTCTCGCCAGTGTGGATGAGCACGTGAGCACGGAGGTGGGCCACCTAGAAGGAGGGGCAAAGCGTGAAAGGTCTGCCGGGCGGGCAGCAGGGTTCCGCGCAGCCCTCAGCAGCACACACAGGCCCAGGGGCCTTCCTTCCTCCACACCACCTGCTCACCTGTACAAATCTGGCTCCGCAGGTTTCGCATTTGTAGGGCTTCTCTCCAGAGTGAATTCGAGTGTGGGTTTTCAGGTTGGCTGGCCGGTTGAACTGGGCCCCACAGATGTTGCAACGATAGGGTTTCTCACCTATTACAAAGAGAAAAAGAAAAAGGAAAGCCAAGTTCAGTGGGGAAGGTCTCCACGGTCCTTGGGCCCTGGATTTCAAAGCTAACTGCTCCTCCCTGAGGTCATTCACGTTTTCCTTCCCCTAGGAGGATGTCAGAGAGAGAATCCAGGGCCTGCCAGCCCTCTCTTACACAGACCACCACACCTTGCAGGGAACCAGGGCCAAGAGACTAGCGGTGGCATGGTGGAGCAGAAACAACGCCAGGTGTGGACAGGACAGGGGAAGGTTCCAGGAAGCCTGAGCTATAGAACCAACTTTGTCATTAGGACTATCTGCCTGTGGGACCTGGAAAAGTCACTCCTTCTCTGGGCCTCGGTCTCCTTCTCTGGAACTTGAAGGGCTATTTTAGATGACCTAGGAAAGCTCTTCTGGCTCTTCTTTGAGATGCGACTGATTAAATCATCAATTCCCTCACCAGGGAGAAACAGTCAGGCTGCTCTAGATTCTCTTTCAGAACAAACACACTTTTCTGCTCGTGGCAACTACAGCCGGATTCCCTTTGCAAGGGGCTGGGGCTGTGTTTGAGCGGATGCTCAGGCAGAGGAAAACCAACAGAAGGGCTGAGCCTTCCTTCATGGGAAGGTTTTGGGATAATGGAACAATTTAAAGTACTAAGAGTAGATGTTGGACAACAATCAGGTTATGAGAAGCTACCTGGTAAAGGAAAGTAAGTTGATAAGGAATAAGTCTTTGGAAGAAATCAACAGGCCTTTAATATTTCTCTGGCTTTATGAAAACCTAACCCACCTTGCCTCTATCAGGCTTAGTTTCTTCACCTATACAGTGGGATTAACACTTCTGACCCCAGCAAAGGCAGAGAAGCAGGACAGAGAATCTCAGAGGGAAGTCGAAGAATGCAGGGAGCGGATGAGCCACTAAGCGAAGTCAAGGCCGAGCCCCTCGTTCAACCCGGATGGGGCCTGCTCCCTGCCTCACCCTGCCAGGCCCCACACGGCTTTCTGTCGGCCCCTCTCCCTGTCCTGCCTCCGGGTGGTGTGGGGCAGGGCCATACCGGTATGGACGGTCTTGTGGCTGGCGAGGTTGCCTTTGTAGCGGAAGGAGGCCTGGCAGCGGTCGCACTTGTAGGGTTTGTCGCTGTGGGTCTGCAGCGTGTGCCTCTTGAGTGAGGCCTCCTCAGAGAAGCGGCAGTCACACTCATTGCAGAAGAAGGCCCCGTTCTCTGTGGGAGGGTGGCAGGGGGACACCAAAGTCAGCGCGAGGAAGGGAGGTGGGGCTCTAAGGCCTCTCTCCTCGGTAGCTATCCCCTGTGTTAAAGGGATCCTCCAGCCCCCACCCACCCATCACTCATGGGACCCCAGAGCAAAGGACCTGCGGGCTTTGTTTTTCCTAGCATTGAGAGTCTCAGCCACAGAGGAGGGAGAAAGGAGACAGATTGAATATTAAGGTGCAGAAGGGAAGCCCAAACCCACAGGTACTCATAGGATTTGCACCAGGTTGAGAAGGGCTCAGCAGAGCTTTTCGTTTCCCCAAGAGCTCTGAGAACTGACCTTTTTTTAAAAAAAAACACTTCCAAGTTTTATTTACATTTATACACAGAAGCCCTCAGGCCAAGAACCTGTACCTCTCTGAGCCTCTTTCTATGTCTCTATCTCCAAAATCAAAATAATAAATCTCTGTCCTGCCTACCTCACGGGAGGATATGACATTACACAAATGGAAACACAAGGGTTTATAGGAATATAAGATAGTTCAAATTCAATCACACTTTGAGGTCCATGAAGGAGGAATTAATGATGAACACTCCATGGCCACTGTTGCACCTGTCTGGATTACATGCCTCCCAAACATTTCCATGAGACTGAGAGACCAAAGATGAGGGTGGATGTGGAAACAGAGGCCCAGGGCAAAGAACTGGAGCGCACAGCAAAGGCGGGGAAAAATGCTTTGCCAGGGTACAAAGACAGTCCCAGCTCTCCCAACCATAGGTCCATGACCCTGTGACAGACCTTTGGGTGTAAGCAGCCAATTTTTTTTCTTTTGTTATAGCAATTTGAAAATGGCATGTCATGGTGACTTAACCCTAATTAGGTATTACTGGGCTCTATTTACTGTAGCCAGAGCTGGGTGAAGAGTTAGATGTTTTATCTGGTAACAACCAAGGATGCCAATCACCAACTATCCAGAAACTTCAGTTTCATAATTCAATTCAACTATTTTAACTCAGCTAACATTTACTGCGTCCCATACTAGGGACCTACTAGGACTTATGGAGGATGCAGGAATGAATAAGGTCAGATGGTTCTCCTTATAAAAGCTACAGTCTAGCAGGGAGAACTCACATGCATACAGATCAGTACCCGTAGTTTTGGTACAGAGGGATGGAGAAAGCTCAGGGAGTAATAGCCAGCCCCACAAGCTACCTTTACTGGAATGAAGATTACCCCATATTAACCCTAATACCCCATCCCTTGCTTTGGTCATCCCAGTTCCCTAAGAGTTTGTGAAATACACAGTGATTGGCTGGTGATTTTCATTGCCAGTGGACTTCCAAGTGGGGACTTCTCTCAATTAGAGACAACCGTGTAAACAAAATGGAAACACAAAACCCACAGAGCAGAAGGGTACTCCCTCTGCCTGGCAAGGAGAAGGAGGGAGAGGGACTCACCACAGCTGGAATCCGAATACTCAGACTGGGTCTCTCCCATCTCCTCGGGGAACGTGGGGCCCGCAGTGTGGAGGCACATCTCCGCGTGCTGCGGGGACTGAGAGCCGCAGGACACGCACTTCGGGGGGTGCATGTAGAGTGGCGAGTGGCTCTCGCTGCTGCTGCGGGGGGAGCCTGTCAGGGACCTGTGGGGGAGCAAAGAGAGCCTCAGCACCTGGGACAGAGCCTCAAAGCCATCCTCTCCTCCCTGGGCCAGGGCTCTGGGGCTCAGAGTTATCTTCAAGCCTGCCTCCAAACAGCATTTGCAGAGAGAGCTCACTGACCGGGATCAAACCAAGCCCAAACCCCACTCACTCCAGGGCCCAGTATCTTCTCCTCAGGACTGCAGGCCACAGCCCCCCTCAGCCCAAGGGGATCATGAGGGCCCCCTAACACATCAAGACCACAGAAAGCACCTGTGGGATTTATGGAATGCTCGTCTACCATACAAGAATATTATATTTCTTGCTATGAAAAAATACACAAAGCCAAGTGTGGTGGTTTATGCCAGTAATCCTAGCACTTTGGGAGGCTGAGGTAGGACTGCTTGAGGCCAGGAATTTGAGGCCAGCCTAAGCAAGAACCAGACCCTGTTTCTACAAAAAATAGAACAATTAGACAGATGCCTGTAGTCCCAGCTACTCAGGAGGCTGAAGCAGGAGGATTGCTTGAGCCCAGGAGTTTGAGGCTGCAGTGAGCTATGAGGACGCCACTATGCAGCCCAGGCAATAGAGCAATACTCTGTCAAAAAAAAAGGAAAAGGAAAAAAGAAAAAATACACAGTACTTAATACACTTCCTTACTTAGGCTAATTCAGTCCATAGGCACTCATTCCACACCTCTAACAGGCTCGGCAATTTGGACAAGAAAAGAACACAGCCTCTGCATCCATCAGAAGCAATAACCCTGGAAGCCTACCCAGGTACCCCCAACCTCAGACCCAGACTATCTCTGAAATCACCTGTTAACAATGTTATTGAGCCGGCTGGCTTGAGGGATGGTGGAATCCTCCCCGCCGACACTGAGCTTGGTTGGGGACTGGAGGTCAAGGTTCTCAGGCTCCAGGGGTGGCTGGCAGGGAGGTGGGGCAGTGTAGGCTCTCGGGGAAAGGCGGCCCAGCTCAGCTTGCTCGGGCCCATCTGGTTTGGCATTCTGGTTGAGGCTGTTGAGCACGATGAACTTGTACTTCTTCCAGTTGCAGGCTTTGGGGTCAGTGGGGCTCTTGGCCGGCGGGGAGCCAGAGGTCTGGAGGATGCATGCATTCTTGCTGCTGCAGGACTCTGTGGGCGAGTTGGGCTGGCAGTCGGATTTCTGGGGACTCTGTGGACTAACCAGACCCTTCCGGTTCAGGGGCGCATTGGGGGGCTCAAAATGCAGGGCAATCTCATCCTCTGAGGAGGGTCTCTCTTCTTCTTTGCTGGCCTTGTCGCAGGGGAAGTATGGGGCATTTCGGACCGAGGGGGCAGCGGGCTTGGGGCCCTCAGCCACACTGTAGTGCATGTCACTTCGTGCTTCCTCTGGGACTGTCTCCTTGGGTGAATAGATGTTACTGTGGCACACGCTGAGGGACACCTCCATGGCCGGCCGGCTGTATTCCCCAGGGACTGGCCTGCCACTGTCGCAGGGGAGGGCCCGCTCCTTGGGGAAGGGGTTGGCCACAGGCATCCGGGCATCCCGCAGCTCCTCATCAGAGAAGAGGAAGCTGCTGACTGGAAGGTGGCTGTACATGGGGTAAGAGGCTGGCGGTGTGGACAGACCACTGTACAGGCTGGGGGCAAAGGCTCTGCTCTCACACCCAGGGGTGTTCCTCAGTGGCAGGTTGTTCTCCACCACCTCGCGGCCCCGATAGGCCATAATGTCTTGGGGCATCAGCATCCGGCTGTTCAAGAAGTCTTCACGAGGAGGCTTGATGGCAGGAACCATCTCTGCTTCACTGTGGGAGAAAAAAGAGAGGAGACACCGGACCCCAAATTAGAACTGTTAAACCCATGGCTTCCAGGGACACTCTTACACAGCCACATCTGTGCCTGAGTCAGCCAGACGTAGGGGTGTGGCTCTGGAGTACAGAAACACAATTACAAGGCATTTATGCTAGAAGTCCAGCAGTCTAGCTTTCAGTTGGGGAAACTGAGGCTCAGAGAAGGGAAGTGAGTTACCTGCACAATGTGTGCCTGCTGAGACATGATCTTGTATGTTTAAGACACATATCTACGCATGTGTGTGAACCTATAACTCTTCTGATGCTATAGAATTTGATAGCTTACATAAAGGTGTCAAAGCCCTATCTCATTTCACTCATGCAAAACCCTGCTAGGAAGGAAAGTCAGGTATTACTGACTCCATGTTACACACACAGAAACACAGAGGGAAGAATTTATACAATGCTGGCACTACACTTTTGGAAAGTCACAGACAAACTAGTGCCCCATCGAAGAAAGGACTTGCCCCATATGCCGCCTGGAAATTTATAATAGAGGACAGGCAGCAAATGCCAGTGCAAGAATCCCTGGCTCCAGAGCAGCCAGACCTGGTTTAAAATCCCAGGTGTGCCACTTAGCAGCTGTGTGACCTGGAACAAGTTACTTAACCACTCTGAGCACAAAGCCTAACCTGTTGAAAGTACTTGTAAATGACAGCAATGATGATCTTGCCACCATTATCACCCATAGGAGACAAACAGCTATAGCTGCATATACCTGGAGGGACATTGTGTGGGGAAAACAAATAGGCCAGCTCAACATGATCACAGGTAACAGAGCTAGAATCAATAAGTGAAAGTTAAGGAAGCCAAATTTCAACTCGCCATAATGAGGAGCTTTCTAACCAAGGTAGACTGTGTGGTTCTGGGAACCCTGAATTTCTGGCTCTTAGATGTGTTCAAACACAGGCTAGATAACCCTTCTTTTTAAGCAAAGATGTAATAATCACCCTTGCATGGCTAGATCAAATGGTTCTGAGGAATTTAAGACCCGAGTCTCTGTTCCACTTAGCAAAACTCTTCACTTCTTTGGATCTCAGGTTCTTCCCCTTTAAATGATGGTCATATTTTACCAGCCCTCAGGTAGGGGTTTGGACCCAGTGAACTCAATTCAACAAATGTCCTCCCTGGCAGGCACAGGATGACATAAAAGACAAGCAAGGCAGCCCCTACAACCTTTGCAGCCCACAGTCTGGTAGGCAATTAAGGCACATATGTAAATAGTCATAACAGAAGTCTAAAGGAGAACTAAAGTATATGCAAATATTAAAACAGAAGGAAGGTCTAAAGCACAAGCAAAATACTTCAGAACACAAGAGAAGAGCTACAGGAGGAAGAGTGGTAATCCAAACAACTTCCATGGAACAGCTGCCATCCAAGCTTGGTCTCGCAGGATGGGTGGGAGGAAAGGGCATATTAAATGAATGGAAAAAAGCAAGAGGTGATAATGCACAGGACATATCTGTATAGCTGCAAGGATTTAAGTCTTTCTGGAGTGCAAGAATTAAGAAGTGCAAAAGTGTACAACAATAGCAGCATATCACAGAGGACTATTTTTTCTGCATGCATGAATTATTATGGGTTTCTGATTGGGGACTACCCCTTCTATCTCCAAGACTTCCACCTTCCATGGCAGCTCACCTGGCTTTGATAAACTTCCTGCAAGTGTCCACAACATGCTCCATTTGCAGGTACATAGCTGTGGCCATCACAGCCATGATGTTCCCTTCCCGCAGATTGAGCCGAGATGTGTACATAAAGTCCAGGAGGATGCAGAACCCCTCAGGGTTGATCTCAGGATCCAGATTGATCACATTAAGGTTGCATTTCAACTGGTCTGTAAAGATGCTGTAGAACAGGCCACTGTAAAACAAACAAATGCCCTGTTATAGTAGACACACAGAATCCACGATCGATTACAGTCAGCGCTGATGCTCTGCCCCTCTCCCCTGGGCCTAGCTCCAGAACTTCCAAGGCAATTAATAATAGCTGCCATTTATGGAGAGCTTACCAAATGCCAGAGAGTGATTAAGCACTTTATATACATTATCCTGTGTTCCTCACAACTTTGTAGGGTAGGTACTATTATTCTCCACCTTTACAATTGGGGAACTAAGATCAGAGAGGTTAAGTGATATTCTTAAAGGCGCAGAGCCTGTTTTCTTTTTACTCTTAACTGCATGGATTACCAGAGTTAAATTTAGCACTCATTTGCAGTAACTATTCTTAGCCTGTATCTTGGGGATAAGCATTTCCCTTCTTGTTCCATTGCGTTATCCTTATTTTAAAAATTCTCTTGTACCTTTTAGAAGTAAGTTTGGTATGAATGATAAATAAATAAAAATATGCCTACACCTACACTCTACTTTTCTCAAAGTCCACAGATTATTAGAAGGTCAATTATTCCTAGAAGATCCAAATCAAACCTCAAACCATGCCACCAAGTACCAGACTATCTGGTAGAGGAAATAGTACTCAATTAGAAACCAGAATTCTGGTTTTACTCTTTCTGAGTGGATTGCCAGAAGTGAAGCCAGACTTCCACCAGTAAGTAGCTATGCAACCTTGGGTGAGATACTTAGCTTCTCTGCACTTTGGCTTACTTATCTTCAAAGGAGGGGGAACAATAGTGTCTATCTTATAGGGTTGTGGCAAGAATGAAAATGTAAAGGGTATAGAATGATGCCTGGCACGCAATAAGCACTCATTAAACATTATCTATTATTCTTATGTTTCTATAAACTTCTGTTCTCACCATTATTAAAAAAAAAACAAAACTGGTGCTTACAATAGATGTTGGATAAGTTCAATACTAGGAATAGAGATCCCTGATTCTATGTCATTCTTCCTATGCTTTCCTTTTATCATCTACAAAATGGTGGTAATGATGACATCCATAACACAAAAGATCCAGGGAGATGATGTCATATAAAATTGCTTTGAAAACTCGAAATATTTGACAAACACGAAGAATTAGATGGCTCATTCTCACTAACTCTTACACATACTCTGAAGACCCATGGAAACACAGTTGCCATATAAAATAAATACAGCATACAAGAGCAAGATATTTCAGATTAACTTGCTCAAGCTAATTAAAGACAATGCAAGTTAATCTGAAGTCTTTTGTCATTTTTTTCATTGGTTAACTGAAGCTATTCTCCATGTTTGTTCCAAACACATCCTTTCTTGTGGTAGTATATGATTTCTTCTCCCGCTATGCCCACAGAACAGAAACTCTTTCTTTCCTAAAAGTACACTCATTCATTTGCTTCCTGGGAGTCTACTCTTCCAGGCCATGTGCTAAGATCTGAAGACAAAGTGAGGCATCATCCCAAACACAGAAAAAGGCCTAAAAGCAAAAGGCGCGTCAACTGCCAGCGCCGTCACTACCCTTTTATTCATCCCCCTGCCCCTTCCAGCCCCCTCACCTGCAGGCCATGAGGACTGTCTTATGGGCTCTAAACTGCTCACGGCTCACCACAATGACAACATCCGTCAGGATGTCTCGACTCCGGAGGCGATTGAGGTTGAGAAGAACGTCACTGGCATGGCGGGTGAACTGGATACAACTGTCAGCCGGTGAGGCCATTTTGTCTTCACCTGAAAAAAGAGGCCAAAATTCTGCTTGTTTTCCAGAACCTGTTTCCTGCTTATCAGGGGTACCAGAGCACATGGCTCAGCCTGCTAAGGTATAGAATGCAACTCAGGTCCCTTGTGTTTGATCTTGAAATAATTCATAACCCAACACTGAGCATTACTCTTCACAGGTATATAATGGGAAGAGTTATCTTTATCCCACAAGTTGGGATAGAAAGCTTTTTAGGGGAAAAGGGAAGGGAATGAATATTTGCTGAGTGTTTTTCTCACATACCAAATACTCTGCCAAGCACTGAGAGGCAGTCAGTATGCTGCAACAGAGAAAAACCATGGTTTGAAGACTATCAGGCTAGCCTTGCCTTTTGCCAGCTATGGGACTTAGAGGAGGTTCATTACTGTTTCTGGGCTTTGGCTTCCCAAAATGGGAGTAGTAATATCCATGTAGTTATGAAAACTAGAGATATGTGCGCCTCATCCATAGCAGGTTCACAAAACTGACAGCTATTATCATAAGCATTTCATTTCATTATTCTAGACACCACCCATCTCTCTCTATTATAGGGCTTTAGAGTTGTTTGACTTTGTACAGTGAGTCACATTGTTAGTGCACAATAGGTGGCTAAGTTAGTATGAACTAAGAAGTGAGCAGAATAACTGACCATACAACAGTGTTAAGACAGTCTAATGCAGAGGTGAAGAGGTGAGGGCTGGGAGGGGAAATGTGTTGTCCTTGTCTCATCTAATAAAGAGTGGCAACAATCACAGAAACACATGCATTGGCAAATTCAAAACAAATAGTTTGTCTCCAATATTTTAAAACATATAATTTGATTTACTTACCCAATGCGTTGCTTCACAGTCCAAAATTTTGCTTAAAACCTGGAGAGAAGAAAGCAAACATAAATTGATTTAATGAGTATAAGATTGTCCACTATAGTCTTATTTTAGGATACACACATTTAGTTTTGCTTTGATAGTTGCAGCCTGCCAGTTGGTACAGTTTTACCACAAGCTAGCAAACATTTTCCAGCTCTGCTTTTACGGAAACAACAGGCACCCAAAGCTATGCAATAATAATGTTTTTACCCTGAGCACGAGGAATGTAACTGCATACATTAATTCCATATACATATACATACATATTTCCTTTCTCAAAGAAAAAAAATTATACCATCCAAAGGCCATTTGAGTTTATGGGAAAGAAAAAATAAGAAAAATGGTTCTTTCAATATTAATGATAACGATTCTTCAAGGGACCTAAAAACGCTGGACGCTATTCAAAACCTGCTAAGATATTATCTTTCAAGTCTTAGAATGATTCTACAAGGCTGATAGGGTCAATATCTTTATCCCTATTTCATCGGTGATGAAACTGAGATGCAGTTTCAAGGGGCTTGCTCAGGACAAACCAGCTAGGCAGTATTTCCTGTCTGAAACACTTCAGACTGAATACGGAATCTGCAGCATACAACCTGAGATGGCATCTCTACACGCTTCTTGAGAAACTTTGCCCTCTTTTTCAAAGTTTCCTCTCCCTTCCCTACTGGGTCTAAGACCAGACAGAGTGCTACAGCTTCCAAGTTTGTGATTCTCTCTGCTGGTGAAAGACTTAACTGTGAGGCTTAGCTGAGAACTAGCCAGGGAGCACTAAACCTTAAAGAGATTTAGTAAAATATATAACCCACTCCAAATAGGTTTCTCTCTAAAAAAAAAAAATCATCAAAAGCACAGGTGTAAGACTCTCACTTATGACAGAATGCAGACTACAAAACAAAATAAAATTTGAACTGTCTTTATCCCTTTTTTTGAAAGCAGAGCCCTTTAGAGCTGTTTTCCTTGTAAAGGGGCTGGAGGCCAGTGGGGTCATGTTGGGCCACGTAGATGGTTGGTGACCCGGCCCTAGGTCTTCTGGCTCAAATTCCTGTCCCCTTTCCAAATCAGTCTACGTGCTGTGGGACATGCAAGACAGCACCCTGATGTGGGTGAATCTCATTTTTAAGTTCCTACCCCACACAAACACTTTGCCCCATTCCAGGCTGCTGAGTCTTACCAAATGAGCACTCTAAAATGAGAGGTTTCCTTGAGTCTGTAACCAAACACTCTGACATTTCTCTGTGGTCCCAAGTGCCAGTCATACAATCTCATCAGCTTCAAGGTTAGTGTGTGCATGTGAGTGAGTGGAGACTGGGGGAAGGAAATGGGGAAAGGGAGAGGACAGAAAAACACAAAAGAACCTATCTCCTCCTCTCCCCATCCCAACTCAAGATAGGGAAAGAGAGATTTACTAACTTAGTCATAACCACAGTTCAATGACTGTCTCCTCTGAAAAAAGAACACACATGTGAGGTTTATTTAAAAACTTTCTCTTCTTCCCTCATGGAAGAGATTCTCAAACACTTCTGGAATACCTAGGCTGTCCTTTAACCAGCTTCAACGACCAGTTCACTTGAGGATTTCCAGTCACAGACTTTTGGAACCACAGGAAGCCTAGCTTTGCCATTTCACCATGACAAGTGGCAATGACTCACTCCAGATAGGGGTTGAAACAAACAAACAATTCCCCTGTGTCCACTGTCAGCCAGTCCTTGAGCTTTTCACCTTAAGCCTCTGAGGGGCCAAAAACAAATGCATATACACTGAGGCCCACAGCCTTATTAAGTTCACTCCTTTATAAGCTAACTTTGTCTTAGGAGGTCCCAGGACTACTGTATGGGTTCACCCCACACACACACACTCCTCATGCTGCAGGTGTGGAAGCACCACCAATGTTTATTTGTTTTGATTTACATACCACTTCATCCTTTCCCACTCATTATTGTATCTTTTCCTCTTAACAGCCCTGATTTACTAGGAAGGAAACTTGAGACTCCAGGGGATAAGCCTCGCCCAAGATCTCAAAGCTAATTTCTAGCAAAGTTCTGGACAAACTCTATCTACTAGATTCAGCCATACAACTAATGCCACACACAATATTCATCCCACAAAAAAAAAAAAAAAAAAAAAGATCACCAAGAGAGCAGGGCTGTCAATGAGAAACTGACAACTTCCTGGCTTCAGATCTGGACCCCCCCATCCCAACCCTCGCCCCACTCCCATCCCCCCACCCGCTGGCTGGCTCAGTAACCACCAAGGGAGAGTTAAACCTTGTTTTCTCCACCCGCCACACCTTTTCTCTCCTTTCGCGCTTTCCTAGTGTATATCCAATTACACAGATTCTCTACAGGAGATTACCACTGAAGAAGAAAACAGAAGAACTAGAAAATAAAAAAGAAAAGGCAAAGAGAGAGGGGAGAGCAGGGGGGAAGAGGGAGGGGGGGAGGAGAGAGAGAGAGAGAGAGAGAGAGAGATGAGGTTAAGAGCGAGAGAGCGAGCCAATGCGAAAGACCCCATCCTTTTCCTCCCTCCTCCAGGGGGCAGGCACCAGGCAGCCCCATACTCTCGCTCACTCACGAGCACAAACACAAGCCCTGCGCTCCAGGGCAAGCCTGCGCAGACTCGCCTACCCTGTGACACCGTACCTGTCTTCCAGAGACTGCCCACTTCTGGACGACCGGCGGGCACCACTTCCCATCCACCTCGAAGCCCCCTGCAAGGCGCGGTGGAGGCTCCCTGGTGTGGCCGTGGTGGCCCTTAATTTAGTTACATTCAAATAAAACTTTTCGGGCACTTCGGTAGCTAACATTGTGTGTATGCCTTTTTTTTTCTTTTTTTTTTTTTTTCCTGTTATGCAGTCAAGGCAGGGCGCAGGGAGGGGAATGGCACAGCCCTCTCATTCCCGGAACGTAGTCGATCTCGGCTCTGCGGATTTCACAGAATACTCTCTGCCCGTCTAACTTTCCAGGAAGCTACCCGGCCCCGACTGCAGCCAGGATCGCAGCCCGCGCCGTGCTGGCCCCGGGGATTCACGGGGGAGGGGGCTGCGGCTCGCGGGGAGTGCGGCGCACTTTCCCCTAAATCCCTCGCCCGCGCCGAGCCCAGGACTCTCAGAGTTCATCCAGTCCTACCCCTTCCCCACAGCCATTTATAAACGGAGGAATCAGACAAGTTTGGTAGCGGAGCTGGTCTAGAAGCCAGGCGTTCGGGTCCAATCTGAGACTCATTTCCTGACTCCAAGTTGCCCAATTCCGGCGTTGGTTGGCCTAAGTGAGTCGTTCCTTTTCTCACTTTTTGCCCGTCTCCGCCCGCCCCCCGCCACTTCTCTAAGGGGCTGGTCAGGCGAGGTGTTGAGGCGAAAAAGATGGAGTCCCTAAGGGCTTAGGGTCTCCATCCTGCGCGCCCCAGCCAAGTTGGAGGAAAACTAAACCGAAAGTCCCTTCCGCCTACGTTGGCAAGAACGGGAACCCAGCTCGACTTGGTTTCCGCCTAAAGTATTTAGAATAGGAGGCGCCAGGCCGAACCTGGCCGGGTGTAGGGATTTCCGAGTCCAGTTTCCCCGAAACAGCAGAGACACGGCGTGGACCCGGCGGAGGCCGGGGCGCCGGCCCCAGCGCACGCACTGGCGCGGCCCGCAATCGCCTCCCCTTCCCGCGGCCTCCCCGGGAATTATAACCCCTGGGCGCCAGCTCCAAATGGGTCTCGATAGCGGGCTGCGGAGGGCGCTTTCAGGGGACAGCGAAAGGCTCAGCCTCAAAGGCCGCAGCCCTAAAACTAGCGGGTGGCGCCACGCCGCGCCGCGCATCCCGTCTGCGACCGAGGAGGGCTCAGCGTCTGTCCGTAAAGACTTGGCCTCCTCGGTCTCAAAATCCTGCTTTGAAGCTTTCTCATTCCCCTGCCCAGTTAGATAAGGGCGAACGAGACGGCTGGAATGCGATTCTGGGGCGGGGGCGAGAATCTGGGAAATTAAAATTCAACAAATGGACTTATTAGAAATGAGGAGGCCCGGTGGTTCCGGGAGCTCAAGCCTCGGCGTGTTTCCACCGCTGCCCAACGCTAGAGAGCGCCCGCCGTCAAGGCTTGAAACCCGCAGGCCCGTCTCGCCCGCCCCGCCTTCCCATTGACCTAGTTTGGCCAGAGCTTCCCGATTTGGAGAATGCCCTCCGCCCTTCCCCCTCCTCTCTATCCAGGCCAGCCGTTGGATTATTGGTAATCTAATAACTCCAATAACTCGCTGAAAACTCAAATGGGGAATTTGAAAGTGCAAAGCACTGTTTAGGGACAGGAACAAGGAATTCTAATAAGGCTGGAGCCACCGCAGTGAAACCCGCATCGGGGCTCCTGCTGGAGCGTTCTGGGTCCCAGCAGCCGCGCAGCCGACAAACTGCACGGCTCCAGCCACAGTGGTCCGACAGCAGGGGACGGGGTCAAACCGCGGAGTTGTTTTTGTTCTTAGGGGAAAGCACTCTTTGCCTCTTGACTGGGGCGGAAGGGCGGGAGGGTGGGGAAGGCGACAGCAGATAAAAGCGAATTTGATAACGCGATGGCCTCGGCAGCCGCTTTGGGTAACCGAGGTGTTCGGGGACATTATGTCTTGACTTTCATTTCTATCACGTTTCCTGCCAACAGCGATCTTGCAAGCCTGCAAGCTTCTAGGAAATGCAATAAAATAGAGGGATGTGTTTTATCATCAAGATCTGAAGAGAAGCTGCAGAGGGACGGACGCTTCCCGTGCGCCCGGGAGACAGCCTTCCAGAAGGGCCCGCAGACACCGCCAGCAAGCCACGTCCCCAGGCAGAGATCTCTCGGCCTTCCTGGCTGGACTGGGCTCAGCCTTTGCAAAACGGCCGGCGGGGGAGGGGAGAGGCATGATCTCCCCAAGCAAACAATGCCTTTAAAAATCCGATCTGGACAGAAGTCAGCCAAGGTCTTTATTCACGTTAATGAAGATGGAAGGCACTAACTGTCCTTGGAAAGCGATGAGTCAAACTTGACCGCGCTTCAAACACGTTCCCAGATTCGTTTCCAACCCGAACAGAGGCGCGTTTCTCCGACGCGGCCTCGGACGGTTCCCGCAGTGGGAGAGGCCGAACTCGATCCCCGCGGGCCGGGGCGGGGGAGGCGGCGGCGTGTCCCGCGGGTGCGCGCCGGCCGCCGCTAGGGGCCGCCAGCACGCGGGCGCGCGTTTGCCATCTCAAGTCACGAGCTCTGGGAAAGAAAACTTTGCTGAGGAGCTGCTGCGGCACAAATTCTGCGAGAATTACGCTCCGCCTGTCCACATGACCCTCCCCCCCACCACACACACACACCCGCTTTCTCGCCAGACCACTAGGCAGAGGCTAGAAGGAAGGGGAAGGATCCAAGAGCGAGCCTCGGCCGCACTGAGGCGCGCCTCTGCAAGTCTCCTGTCTAGGCCGGAACCGCCCCGCCGGCACATACGTACTCCCCCCGGCCCCCCAGCCTCGAGACCACCACACACCCCGCAACTACTGCGGGCTCTTCGTGTCCGTAACCGAAAATCTTAAGCCATGCTTTCTCAACAAACTCCTCCCAGACTGCTGAGGAACCGTCTCCAATGTTCACTGGCAACTCAGGTGACCCACGAGGTTAAAATCATGGCTCTGGCTGCTGCCCCTTCTCTTACAAACTTCAAAAAAGTACAGATCACGTCGCCTTTGACTTTCAGTCACTGACCTGAAATTCAGAAGCTTTTAATCTGGTCCTTGTTAGGTCCCTAACTCGCCGCAAACAGGCCCCTCGCCAGGCCAGTTTCCTCAAGAGTTGTCAGACCCGAAGCCCCTGGGCACATAACATGGCATCCTTCCACTGCCAGCTTCCCCTGGGAAAGGCCACAGTGACTGGGAAACTGTGTTCAAAGCGGGTTATTTTATGGCTTCTCTTCGTGGAGACAGATGCCCGTCGCTGACTGATGGTGGACGGAGCGAACATCCGGGACAGTTATACTTTTCATCTGTCTTGTCAAAACTTTGGAGGTCGTATGCCATCCCCGTTGAAGGATGCTCTCCTGCTGTCAGTCCTAGCACCTGGCCAGGACCCAGGCCGACCCGAAAAGGACCCAGTCGGCCCACCGCCTCAGGCAGAAAACTTGATCGCGACCCGCCACTAGGTGGCGGACTCAGTCCGTCCGAGAACCACCGCACGGCCGCAGCCTTCCACAACGGGTCCCCCCAGCGCCCGCTTTTTTTTCTGTCTGGTGGGGCTGGTGGTGTGGTTGCCTCCACAACCAAAGCTGGAAAACATTTAATTCTGTGGATGTAATTCCACTATTTCCGATGCTCCCGCCTCTAGCAACCACAACGCAGTATCTGGAGCTGCGTTCATGTAATACAAATTGACTTTTTTTTCCCGAAAAGCTGAATGTACTGGGCAGGGCAATAAAGGGTGCACTTGTTTTCAAAAGGCAGAATGGCACTCGACCGTATTAACAGAGATTCTTGCCAAACGCTGGCCGACCAGCAAAGAAAGTCGAAAATAAACTCCTGGTCGTCACGGAGGAGGGGGGACCTGGGGGATAAAGGCTGGGTCCCACCCAGGCTTACTGCGCCTGGCAAAGAGGGGAGAGTGGGGGCGGGGGCGGCTTGGTGGGGCTGCTGGTCCCGGACTGGGAGACCGAGAGCGTTGGGAGGAGCCGTTCCTGGCTTCCACTGGGACGGAGAGAAACCGGCCAGGCTCTGCCACTACACAACACCCTCGCTCAGATCGCTGCGGCAGCGGTCCCACTTGTTGCGCAGTGCTGGGAACCAGCACGCACCATGCTTCTTTGACTCCCAGAGGGCTACAGACCAGCCTACCATAGCTCCACGCCATCCACAAACCTCTCCCCACCACCCCACCACCACACACCCGCACATACACCACCACCACCGCTGGCAAAACAGTACTTCCAGCCACTGTGGTTTTCACACCAAAACATTCCTCCTTTTCTCAACCTCAGACAAGAGGCAGAATGCAGATTCCCTGAGAAGTCAAGTCCAAAGGGGGAAGGCAGGCTACCTCCACCTGGAGAACTCTTCTATTTAAAGCCAATCAGGCTCACTCCCCACCCCAAATTACTGGAACCACGTTGCCTATTATGACACCATCCTAGCTGGAAAGCAACTTTTTCTTCTCTATTTGAGAGATCAATTACAAAGTCCTCTTTTAAAAACTTAGTTTTATCACTCCTATTTTTTTTTAATCTCTTGGGGGGTGGGGGGAATGCCTCAGAAGGTCATTTCACAGTATTTTTCAAATATTTGACTTCTGCCAATAATTTCACCCACCGTGGGGTGGCGCTGCCGCACTACCTCCTCTGAATCTCAAGTTTTTCACAACAAAGTGGGTTGAGTGTGGCTACCCCGCAGGGAGAGAGGGAAGGAAGAAGGGTTTTGACATCTAGCCATGGCTACCATTTACTCAACCTATAACTGGAACTCTTCAAGGGCTCAGCAAACGACAGTTCAAGAATCTAGAGTCCCATCCCTGTCCACCAAACCCAGGACAAATTAGACAGCCTTTTCAAGAAAACATCAGGGTAAAACTTCAAAATTGGACAGAGGAGGAAAAGAACAATTGGAAAATTCCCACTTTTCCTGGCTGTCTCCTCCTCAAGTCACTTCGTTTTTATGAACTAGCTTTATTGTCACTATCAACAGACCCTTAAAATCAGCCAATACTTGAGTACGCAGTATTGGAAAATCTTCCAAATAGGATACTGGAAACTTCTATTTATAAACTGGGGGGGGGGGCTACGGGGGGAAGGGGGGAGATATTTCCCATCTACAGGTTTCTATTTTGGCCTGAAGACTCAACTGCAGTCATTATAGCAAGGGAATGCCCATCTCCTGGTACTTTCTCTCCATTTCCTCCTCCCCAGATACACATATCTTTTCTTCTTAAAAAAAAAAGTATGTATTTTAAAGCAAGAATGCGATTTCACCTCGCTCCTTTGAGCTCATGTTTGCTACCTCCAGGAATAGCGTGTGGACTAGGGCCAGATGAACTTCAACTTGGGCTGTAGATTTACGAGGTTCTGTTCCAGTGCCAAGGGCTCTTGGTAGTAAATAGTGAGCAAAATAGATACCTGTCTCCTGATGGATCTTGCCGGGCCCCCTCTTATTTTTTTTTTTAAGTTATTTAATAAACCACACACACCTTGCAAAGAAAAAGGGAAACTGGCAGTCTCTGTAGAGGAAGCCAGTGGCATCGCTCAGAGCCACAAACTGTATTTCTAAACAGCCCTTTCCCTGGTTCCCTCTCTCCTGCCCCACTTTTTTTTTCCGGACTGTAAAAAACGCATCTACTGACACTTTACTTACAGAAGGAAAAAAAAAAAGTAAAGCGTTACAACAAGATTTTCCTCCTGGAAACTATAAACTGATTTTTTTTTAAGTCCATAAAAGATTAAATCAGTTTCCTAGGGCGGGGGGTGGGGTGGGGAGCGGTGATGGCTCTCTGAGATAGAAGGTCAGGGACCCTACAGCAGCTTTGGACTTTCAGCACCTGGTTTGGGGTCGTTTCCCCTGCTCAACTGTCAGGACACCCACTCCAACTCTTAACCATTGCGAAGGGGGCACACCACAAAGGTCTTTTTTTTTTTTTCTTTTTTTTTTAAATTGGTAGGGTTGTGTTCTTGCTTTCCACGGGGGAGCTTTAAAACTCATAATTGAAACACTAGTTCCATTTTTCACCCGGGTTCCTATAACATGGCATAATAAAGGCAACGCAACCCACAGTTCTCAAGACATTTACCACGGTCACTATAGCCTGCAGGCGGGGTGGCCCCTAGCTTCAGCTGCCCTCGAACGCAGCCCATTTCCGAGCCTCCAACTCCCTACCCGCTCCCGCCCTGGGCCGCCGCCGCCTTCCCCCATTCCTAGTCCCTCGAGGAGAGCCACAGGTTGCAAATCCAACCAACCTCGCAATCTATTTTTGCAAAATCACTCACAAAGATCTCCCTTTCGCGCCCGCACCCGCTCCTCCCGCGCGGGGCCCCCCAGCCAGAGCCACAAAGTGCCCTTCTCTGCTCCCGGGTCTTGCAAGTAAGGGACGCGGGCTGGGGCTCAGTTGTCTTTCCCCTCGCCCGGCGTCCACTACGCTCAAGTCCGCAGTTTCCCTTTTACAGAGCTTGCACCATGGGAAAAATAAAATAAAATTTAGGAAAGGGAGGGAACAGCCATTGGGAGCCAACACAGAGTCACGCAGCGCCCAAAATACAAACACCTCGGCCGCCAGAAATCCCGCCACCTTCTCGCTCTCCTAGGCTGTCCTGTCACGGCTCCACGCACGCCGAGAGGCACCGCAGGTGCAAATGCGCACCCCTTTCCCACCCACCCCCAAATCCCTGTCCCGCCATCAGCCTCTCTCCTCGGAATGGGCAGAAAGAGCGCGCTGGGGTTCCCGACTCCCTCGACTACAACCAAGAAAGAATAATTTTCAAAGTATTCAACATCCCCGCCCCCATGCAAGCTAAACCTTCCTAAATACAGGGTAAGAGGACACCAAAACACTCGTCTCTCGTTAGGAAGATGACGGCTCTGAAAGGAAAGAGACACGATACTTCATCTCATCTGGTTTTATGACCAAAAAAAAAAAAAAAAAACCGAGGAGTTGGCTTGCATTTTTCCTCCCAAATCTCGGCTCGCCTCGAAGGCAGGGAATCTTAAGGACCGAGGCCGGGGAAAGGGAGCCAGCGGGGCGAGCGAGCGGGCGGGCGGGCAGCCTCTCCCCTCGCCTCCCGGAGTTACCCAGAAGGACAAGAGCAGGGAAGGAAGAAGAGGCGAGGAAAAAGAGGAGGGAGGGAAGGGGAGGCAGGAGCAAGGGAGCGAGGAAGCAGTTTGCAAGCGAGAAAAGAGGGGAAAAACACAGCCGCACGAATCCAGAGAGATCACAAGCCGTACGCAAGCAGCAGCAGAGAGCGCGAGCGCGAGCGCGCGTCCTCCTCGCCGTCTGGGGCCAGACAGCCCCCAGACTTGCCCGAATCACCCCCCGAACACTGTCTCGTCCTCTCTGCTCCGGCCGCCCCCTAACTCCCCTCCTTCCTCTCCTCCACCTCCTTTCCAAAAACCAAAACAACGTAAGGGAGGGCGGCAAAGCCTCCCCAAACCGGCCGATTCACTCAAAGACAACAAAAACAATAATGATAAATACATAAAAATCTATATCCTAGAGTGGGAGAGACATGGGACTAATCTTCGGCATTTATTTTAACACCTGACAGCTAGAATAAATAAATATATACATTTATATCAATAGATACACATAGAAAACTTGGAGCCAAAGCATTTGGCAAGAGCGGAAAAAAAAAGAATTAAAAGGTAAAATAATGATCATGAGCAGCGGCGGCGGCAGCGGCACCAGCGGCAACAGCGGCGGCGGCGGCGGCAGCAGCAGCGGCAGCGGCGGCAGCAACAGCAATAATCACCTGGTGTCCGGCCTTTCCTAGAAACTTCTTGCATCACCACTTCTAAGAACCCCAGTTCTAAGAATCAACAGAGCTCAATTCTCGGAATTTGAGCTGAGGACTTTACCATTGCTACGTGGCAGGGGAGGACTCGGTGTCAGCTCCCCGAGATTTTTACCTCCCCTGTCCCACAAAAAGCCCTCAAAGCCGCAATGTTTTTCCACCGTCCGGCATATTTCGAGGTCCTCACAGGCTGGGCGTCTCGGATTTCGCGGTTCCGGGTCCGGGTTCGAGGGGCCCGAAGGCGGCCCTCCCTCCCTGGGCCCGGGACGGTGGTACGGCCTGCTCCGCCACCGTCACGTGGGCGCCTCCTCTGTGACGTCGGCGACTTTGCTGTAGCAAAGCTCGGCCTCTGGAATTCTGAGAACTAATTTGCTATTCGGTGACATAAGAGGGGGAGTGCGCTTTGCTTTCCCGGGGTCTGGGGCTAATTCCTCCTCTCTTACCCATAAACTCAGCTCCTCGAGCTAAATGCACAAAAGGGAGCGAGAGGTTTGAACCACTGGAAAAAGTACGGTATATATAGTAGGTTTAGAGAGGCGAGTAAGAGAAAAAAACAATAAACACCACAGCTCTTTCCAGCTAGAATATTAGGCACCACGAGAAAAATATTTGCCAAGCAGTTTTCGGTGGGTTCATTTGCTTTATTTTTATTTGGGACAGGGGTTTTTGCTTTTGTTTTTGTCTTGGGCTTTTATTCTTTTTGGTGTGGTGACTTGGGATTGGGGGTTGCTGTATTTTGATGATTTTCGGATTTTTGCTTCTGATTTTTGCCTTTTGCAAGTTTGTTGTGTTACGTAAATGGTAGGATCCGGCATCGGTTGGATTTTGTGTGTGTGTTTTCTTTCTTTCCCTACCTTTCTCAAGAATTTTAAAGAAGATGTATCATTTCAATACTATTACTATTGAAAGAAGCTTGAATTTTTTGGTCGTATTTAACAATCCGAACCCTCACTTTTTTTTTTTTTCCCCTTTGGTGCAATTTTCTTTTTCCCGTTGGACTTGTACTGAAGTGAGTTTCTCCTGCACTTGAGAGAAATGTGCAAAGGACTTGTTTTGGTTTGGTTTGTTTCTTTCCAGGACAGCAAGTGGTGGGTTTACTCTTTCTGTTATTGTTGACTCTTAGGAAATTTCTTGTTGCAGGAAGCGTATGTGCGTGCTTGGGTATGTGTACGTGTATGTTCTACAGAATTCTGTGAGCCAAATACATGTTTGTGTTTTGCTTTTTCTTAAGGTCTTGATATTTTTTTTTTCCAGGCTCATTTCAAGGTCGTTGTAAAAAAATCTCTTCAGTTTGCGTTTAAGAGATCAGCCGGAGAGAATTCTAAAGGCCTGCCGTGCCAGTATCACAGATACTGCGTGTATTTAGAACAGACTGTGCTACAACTACAACGTACTGCACGCAGCACAATCCTCTTAGCTCTAGAGCAGAGTTGGGGGGAGGAGGAGGAGAGGGAAATCTTTCTCTCTTTCTTTCTTTCTTTTTTCTTTCTTTCTTTCTTTCTTTCTTTCTTTCTTTTTTTTTTTTTTCTTTCAAAGGAATGCCGTGCAGAATCATCTCTTGTGGGCCCTAGTTTGTTTGTTCAAAACTGCCAGTTTCCCTATTTAAATGTTGGTTGGGGTTTTTCCCCTCCTAACTCATCCTGAATGAGGGAGACTCTTGTTTTTTATGTCCTTCTCTTAAAAAGAAGGGTGTGAGGAGAAATAATATTTCGGATTCCTCAAGAATTAACCCAAAATGTTTGGACCAGATGCAGCTTTCAAAGGTCAGGCTGTTCTGAGCCTGGCTATGAGAGTCCTTCAAGTGACTCATTAAATTACAGATGAATTCTTAAAGTTCCGCAAACTCGCTTCACATACCTAATTTCTAATAAATATATTCCCCCAAATAATCTACTATCCGAAACCCCAAATTTGAGTTTATAATAAGAGAGGTGAGCAGACCTATGAAAGATTGCTGGCTGTTTACTGGGATATTTGGGGTCTCTTTCACTGACAGTCCCATAAGAAGTTTCATTTATTGCTGAAGATGCTGTGGTTGATGTACCTCCCACCCCTTTTTAAAGGCTTTTTTATAGATTTTAGAAACC